TTTTTCATATAATACGCGTAGGGCAATATGTCTGCGTGTATACACGGTATAATATTCGTACGATCGTCGACCGAGGAGGGAGACCCGCCGTGTGATGTGGAGGGTTTGGTTGTCGTCTAGATCATCGTCACCAACCACTTACCGTAAACATGTCTCGAGCCAAATATAACAATGTTACGAAAACTATGTAGTCACAAATATATTATGTATACACCCATATGTAAAAAGAAAGAAATAAAGAAACGTATTATATATACGAGTACGCAAATGTGGAACGTTATCATGAAAAATCAACGAGCGAACGATAACCGCCGTATTGTGCATCGATCAATTTGGGTTATCGAGGTATGTAAAAGAGTAATTTGAATAGGTTTAAAAGAAAAAGTTTAACTCGTCAGAGATAATAATCGTTCCGTATCGTTGTCGTCGTCGTGGCTCCGATCGTTTTAATGGTTTAAAATTTTTTCCAGGCGGCTTTTTTTTTTTATATATATTCGTTGTACCGAGTAAATATTTATTGTTCACTCAATATATATCACTCATAATCGGAGCGATATTTATTTTTTATAACCGCAGCCGGATCGTGCGCTAGGGTCGACACGCTTACTCTAAAATAAAGCACAAACTTAAAATAAGTCCCAATCGACCATTATACCTTGTATACATTTGTTTGCGTTAAAAACCGGATATTCGATTTCCGCTTCGTACCACGTAGACGTATCAACGCGGACTTCATACTTGTGAAACGGCTGACGTTCTTGTGTGCTGCACAGCGTATCGTCACTGTTATTACTTTATTTCGTACGTCTGTGACAACAAAAAAATTCGACTGATATCTGAAGTTTATTGCTCATTTAAATTTAAAACTTTTGGGTAAACAAGATATAAGGCAACAACTTTCAAATGCATTTAGGCTTAGTATACAAAAACATAATGAAACTGTAACTAACAACCGTTATATTTTATCTAAAATTATTGATTGTATTAAATTTTGTGGTGCATTTGAACTTGCTTTTCGATGGCATAATGAGAAGTCAGATTCTGAAAATCCAGGAATATTTCGCGGACTTATTAATTTTAGTTCTGAATTGGATAACACTTTAAAATTACACCTCGAACAGTCTACAGTATTTAAAGGCCTTTCTAAAATAATTCAAAATGAAATGTTGGAATGTATGCTATTCGTTATTCGACAAAATATTAAAAACGAAATAAAAAACGCTGATTTCTTTTCTGTTATATCTGACGAAACGACAGATGTATCAGCACAATTTCAAATGTCGATAATATTTCGTTATATTTTATCCAATGGTACGCCAGTTGAGAGATTTTGGGGCTTTTTTAATCCATCTGGACATGATGCAAAGTCACTATCAAAGTGTATAAAATATAACTTAAAAGAAGTAACAGAAAACCACGACAAATTAATCTCGCAAAGTTATGACGGAGCTGCTGTGATGAGTGGTCGACTTTCCGGGGTTCAAAAACTCATAAAAGATGAATATAAAAATGCACATTTTGTTCATTGTTATGCCCACCAGTTAAATTTAATCTTAAGTCAAGCTACAATGCACAACCGTGATGTAAGAATTTTTTTTTCCAACTTGACTGATGTAACTAATTTTTTTTCTAATTCTCCGCAAAGAGTTACCATTTTGGAAAAGTTGTTAACCATAGAATCCCTCGATCATCAAATACAAGATGGAACTTCAAAAGCCGTATTGTTAATACTGTACACGAAAATCGTGAGTTATTAATAGAATGTATGGAAGAGATCGAAAATACATTTAATCAAAATATTGTAATTAATCAGGCGTGCGCTATACGTAGAATGTTAAATGATGAAAAATTTATATTTTGGTTAGATGTTTTTCATTGTTTAATGCCACATGTAGATATATTATATAACCAGTTGCAAAAACGGAAAATCGACTCTATCGAAGTGAAAAATGCCGTTTCTCGATTTGAAGAAAATATTCAAAAAGAAAGACGAAATTTCGATAATTTTCAAAATGAAATGCCAGGTGAAGTAACTCAATGTAGACAAAAAAGAAAACGTGATGATGATACACTACTTTCTAGAATTTGTGTTGCAAAAGAAGTCTGTGATATTCTTATTGTCTGTGTTAAAGATAGGTTCGAATATAAAGCTCATTTAAACGCGTCTCTATTATTTATGTCCACTGAATTTCCTTTGTATGAAAAAAGTTTTCCACAAACATATGTTGATGAAACAATTGAAGCTTACCCTTTTTTAAATAAAAGGAAGCTTCAAACTGAATTGGAACTTATATATAAACGAACAGATTTTCGTAGCGTAATAGGTGCTGTTAATTTACTACAGTTTATTATTGATAACAACTTGGAACAAATATTTTCAGAAACATTTAAACTTATACGTATTATAGCAACAATACCTATGACATCTGCAGAAGCAGAAAGATCGTTTTCGACATTGAAGAGGATAAAAACATTTCTTCGAAATAGTATGGCAGAAGAGCGATTAACAGCATTAGCGATGTTATCAATTGAAAAGAAAATGGTGAACCAAATATCAAATTTTAATGAAGAATTCATCAAAGTATTCATGAAGAAAAAAGACAGACGGATCGATTTGGAATTCAAAAATATAACTACTGTATAATATTGTGTTAATTGTTAAAAGTACTTACAACTTATAATTATATTATAACGGCATAATAATTATATTCAATATTTATTTTTAAACCATAATTTTTTTTTTAATTATTTGTTTTGCAAGATACTTTATAAGAGTATAAGGTTTTGGTAAAAATTTTTATTTCATTTAAAAAATCAACAGGAATTGATGGTAAGTTCAAAGTTTTCATAGTGGAAAAAGAAGGAAATATTTGTGCCCTACCTTCAACGAACCCCACGAGCCGCCACTGTTAACAATCGTATGAAAATAACTCGTATACAATTTTCTTGATATAAACTATATTATTACTTGGCTATATAATTAAAACGCCAGAGTAATACAATGAACCATTTTACAAACTTGTCTTACGGGCAACGTTTTATTTGAATTCCTTAAGAAAACATGTAAAATGATGGTTTTGGAGACCCTACGTGACGACAAAAACAAGTACTGTATGACGGGATTCAAAACCCTACGTGGCATTATATTCAAAACTGAATTTTTTGTCTTAGCACTTAACCTGTAAATGTTATTATTTAATTGGGTAAATTGAAACGTTTCATGTTCTTTGTTTTTCATCATGACATCATTATTCATTAATCATCCTTACATATTTTGTTCCGAAAAAATATTTTATTGATAGTCTATCGTCCATAAGTATTAAATATTTAAATATATAGGTAACCATATTTTTTTAAGTATTATGAAGTGGGCAAATTTAATCAGTTGCCTCACCCTTTCAAAAGTTGAAATGACGCCCCTGCGTACGGGCCCCGGGGCTCTAGCCTTCCCTACCCCATCCTCTCGCCGGCCCTACCTATTCCGTTCACTTTTACATCGTTAATTAATATACATATCAGTGTATTATTTCTTATGTGTGAATTACACTCGCATTGTACAAATTACCTGTATGTTTTGTAATTATTTTGCATAGGTATTAGGTAGGTAAATTTACGTAAATAATTGTTTAGTTAATATTTGTGATATTATATGATCCGAGTGAATCGATAATCCTACGAAAACATGAAATTTCGTTCGGGCATTAATACGTCTGACATGATGAGTAAAATATTTTAATAATCCATGATCGTCGTTCATTTAAAAATTATTCTTATTAAAAACTGATAATTTGATAATAGATCAAGTGATAACAGTTAACATGTTACAGAACATTATTGTTTCTCCTATTACTCTATTACTCGTTTTGTGGAGTCTATATTCAATTTACTCGTAAACTTTAAATGCATTTCTGTTTAATAATATAAATCGTTTTAATTAGCATAATGATTCTCAACCTCATTGAACTGAACTATGCTAGCAGCTGTATTTTAATAGCATGCAGTACTAACAAAGGTGGAACTAGGAATTTTTACGCCCTGGGAAAATGTTAAAATTACGCCCTATCAGACCAATGATCAAGTACTTTTGTCGAGAATTTTTTTCTAACAATGAATATACAATCGTACTTATTGTGTTTTAAACTTATATCAGTATTTAACAAAGTTAAAACTATCTAATTAATTGTTAATAATTACAAAAATTACACCCTCTAAAATTTTACGCCCAGGGATGAATATCCGTCTTCCACTCCCTAGTTCCGCCTCTAAGTACTAATACATCTCCTAGTGGTTGGTATAAAATGAAAGGTTAAATTTTATTTATATGCTATGAAATGTTTAACGCTTATATGTTTTAGGTATTATATAGCTGCGTAAAGAAAAAAATGTGCAATGGTGGTCCAGTTTAAGAAAAGTTTGAAATCCCTGTCAAACTGATACAAACAAATTGGTTAAAATGTGTACCTGAAAGTAATATTTAAGAAGGACAGGAGGTAGAGTTAAAACCCGGTTCAGAATATCTCGACTGGCTTTAGAAACTTAATACGTAAAAATGTATTAAATTATAGAAGTATGCTTTTTATTTTTTTAAATATCCAAGCAAAATTTATACTATGAAAAGATAAACCTGTTTAGTGTCCAACATACTGAGAGTACAAACTTTAAACGGTTATTAAATTAATTTTTTATTTTAAATACATTTCATTAAAATCATTTATTTAATTCTACCTATACTTAAACATTCCAACTATTATTTAATATATTTTAATTAAAGCTATTATATAAATGTAATTTACGTTAAATATTAATTGAACCTTATATTATTTAGAACGTATCTTGCTCAATTTATATCATAATGACAAAATTAATTCTTAATAGTAACTTTGTTGGTAATAAGCCTTTTTGTTTTTGTTAAAATTCTTGTTTTTGTTAGAATTTTTATACTAATAAGTATAATATAATATACTACCATTAAAAAACAAATTTTAAATATTACAATTAAATACAATTTACTTATATAAGAATATAGTTTAGCTAAATAAAATGCCATTTGCTTAAAAATAACCTAAAATTTAATGTATACTTGTTTACATCATTCATTCACTATTTATTTATTTATTTATTTGGACAAACATAAGCCCAATAAATTATATATATGGTCAATTTAGCATACATTTTTTTTAAGTAATTACTATACACTAATAAAATTAGGTAATACTTTTTTAAATATACATTAACATCAATGTAAATATATATAAATATGATCAATATTAAGAATTATCAGGTTCTAGGTAATATCTTGTACATATTATTTTATTTAATTATTTAAATATATAATAAACATATCAACAGTTGCACATGAAAATAAATCAATATTAAATATATTAATTATTCCATACCTCTGTTCATAAGAGAACTTTGACCACAACTCATGAATTAGAATAGTAGATTAAGAGTGTTAAATTTTCTTGTTACGCGATTAGGAACCAGAATTAAAATTGGATGATAGTTAGTAGTGAATTGTCCTCTTTATAATGATTATATAATTTTTGTTTTAGGCAGACCAAAATCACTGGAAATTTGATTCAGATTTAAAGCGCAATACTGGCTTAGAATACAAAAATTAAGAATAAGAAAAAATAACTTTTTGAATAAGTTAAAAAAGTTTTAGATTATGTATATGTATAAGTAGTGATCATAATGTCTGTTTTGTATTTTTAAAAATCAAATTGAATTTTGCATTATAAATTCTAAAAAAAAAAACAAACAAAATATAAGTATTTTATTGCAATAATATTTGTTAATTGTAAATTGGTATTAACATGAAATGGCTCAATAAAGAGAGAATTAATGAGAAATTGTAGTGACAGGTAAAACTCTTAGAGTAACTCTGGAGTAGTATGGTCAAATGAAGAAGTAAATTGGTATATATCGAACGTAGATAGGTTAAATTATAAATTTGAGTACTTTTTTTTTCTATCTCAAAGTAACTTCTAAATTAAAAACACTTATTTTTAAAAATTAATGGTTAGTAGTATTCTAACAATATATATTTCTAAAAATGTAATTAAAATTTTAAGTTAATAATTAACAAATTGTAACTAGTAATTTTAGAAATAAGTGTAATAATCAAAATTTAAATTATCTGGTACTAAAAATGTATTAAATATTATGAAATCACTAAAATAAAGTCTAAGAATATTTTTATGACTTACTTCCATTAACCAGTACTGTATATTTGATGTATCTAATCATTAGATAATTATTAGTCCAATCTAAAAATGTAGTTGGTAAAAAGTGGTTTTTTTTTCACTGCATTCTATCATGTTGTATAAATTAAAATCTATAATTTCCACTATAGCAATTTGATCAATCATCTTATTCACATACTTCTGTGTGTAGCCCATCATTAACTTTGGATCTGATCATATGATTTTTATGAAAATAAAACTCACCCAGATTACAGTACCTACAGACTTGTTTTTTCAGTATAACACTAAATATTATTTGTCAATATGTGCCTTAAACGTAATTATATTTATAATTTTTATTATTTTTAACTTGTTTCTTCTTTAACAATTAAATTAAACCAAATCATATTGAAGAATACAATATTTAAATTGTCAATGAAGAAGGACTGAATTGGAATAAATCTTATCGGTATGATGGTAAATGTGTTAAAAACTTTATAATAAATTGAGTTATTTGTAACATAATGAAATTAACATAGTTCTAACTTCTAAGGTATACAGATTTACATAAAGCTATTAAAATAAATTCACTTGTAATGTGAAAAATAATGTATTGCATTAGTTACTTGTGTTCACTGATAGATCGCGCTTCGGATACCGTTATACTAACCATGAAGTAAATACATTGACATATTAAGATATCTCAATGTCTATGAGTAAATATTACAAAAACTTATCTTAGAGTCTATGTATTATAATATACTTAATAATAAATATGTATTATTATTACGCATGATCTCTAACATGTCCTATGCATTTTCAAAACAATTATTTTTAGAAGTTACAAAATATTGCGCAAATTCTATAAGCTCTAATAAAAAATATTCGAAACATAAACAATGAACAGTTTACTATTAACTTCCGTTGGGTACCGTGATATTATTTAGAACATTTTTTCACAATTCAAACATCGTTTTGACATGAATATTCCTTATCGCTGTGGTCATGCTTATATTTTGTGCGAAACATCACAATTGCCTAGGGGAAAAGCTTAAACCAATACGGTTCACCGTTGTTTCCCTGGCAACGATTTTGTTCTCAGAGTACCTACATGTTTGCAACGAAATCCTGATCAGAATCGTAGTGAATTTTGTGGAAATATATTCAAAACAGCAGAACCGTCCGATACGATAATTTTGACTGTGATTTATATTTTTTTTATTTATTAATTTATTCATACGGCCAAATCGTCGTTTGGAAAACGGTGAATTTTGCTCTTTTGCGTTTAGCGTAACACCAGTGCTCAACTTGTGGGGGGGGCAAGGGAACGGAATACCCCAACTAATTTTCAGAAATTGTAGCGTCCTCCTACTATTATTACGTTATAATTATAACGCTCAACAAGTTTTGGGGACGCTCTTTCTTTCAAGTAAATAAAGTCTCCTTCTTTAATTTTTTCCAATTCGAGCACTGCGTAACACACATGTGCTCCGCCCGACGATAAACGGCCGGTATGACGTTAGACCGTAATGCAATCTCGAATATTTTCCAAATACGGCGCGTAAAAATTAATATTGAAAAAAATTCGCGTACACGAAAAGTTAAGCTGACGTCCGCTCGTATGTCACTCGCAGTATTCGTTCGACAAGAATTTTTACGAACCGCATATTTTCGTACGAAAACGATAAACGTATAAGCCTTTTGTTTTCAACATTCGGTCGAATAAAAAAATAACCAAACGATCAATCAGGTAACCATACGCGATTGTTTACAGTACGTTATGATCGCAAACTTCATTCAGTAAGCACGGAGCGTGTAAAATGCAACCCGGGACCGCCGGAGTTTGGGGAGAAGCACAGGGTAAGTAGGAACGGGCAACAACGCGGTAAAAATACTTAGGCCCCTCTCCAACGTTATCTTCGTACGAAAGTTCCAAGTGTACATGTCATATTGTTCTTTCGAATGTTTACTGTGAAACGTTAAACGAAAATAATTAACGGATAATTAATAATTGCATAAAGTAAGAATGAAAATCCAGTTTAATACTGTAAAATACGTGTCGCATTTCGCGTGAATTAATGCTCTATTTAAACACTTGATACTAACTTGAATTGATTTTGAATGAATAATTGCCGCGTACCACTTAATTTTAATGTTTAACAATTACTGTTACTTATTATTATTCCACAGTTAATCTTCTCAATATTCTATATTTCCTTTTATCATTTTCTGTTTTCCATAACATTATGCGCGCAATTTTCCTCGATGGTCGTCAATAAATGAATGATCAAATTATCAAACTACCGCGTATAGTTTAGAAATTTAATTTATTAACATTTTCGATTATTTTAAGCGAGTAGTTATATAGTCTCGGGATTGTTCGAAGATTCCAAGGCCCTCCGCGCTCCGGGGCACTGCCCCGTTTTGTCCGATAGCTGCGCCACCGGGAAGAAGAGTATTTTAGTCCGGCGCACATAATGCATCGGAAACGAATCATGTGCGTGCACCTGTTTCGATGCTACTGAACCGTTCCCTTAGGTTTTTCGATATTTTTCTTATCGAAATGAAACTTCGCACACGATTCAGGCACTCGGGATCTGCAGAAATCTATCCGGTTGGGTTTTATTTGCTTACGTCGTACACCGACAGGGGTTTTCGAACGAAACCGGTAACGTGTATCGTTTAAGGTGAAGTCTTCTGTCAATAACCCAGTAATACGCATCGAGGTTTTTGAACTTGATCGTAGTGAATGTTATTATTATTTATTTCTAAAGTCTTTTACGATTTATCAACCGCCGAAAAAATAAAGAAAAAAAAGTATGTAGTGGTTTTAAACCTCATTTTAAGTGCCTGTATTAGGTGCGCTATCCGAGATTTTTTTATACATCTAACAATTTATAGTAACAGCTAATGATCCCAGTAATAATGTCAATAATGAGATTTCGTTTTTAAAATTTCGTAAGACATTACGATCTACGGTCTCCATCGCGTAGTGTAGAACATCTTTTGGTAAGGTTCTGACGTAATACAATGGACATCCAGACACAAAAAATAATAATAATAATAATAGTAATAACACGCTTTTAAGGTTTAACTACAAGAAAAAACCATTACCGTGATTAAAAATATAGGCAAGTGCATTGTCTGCAACTATTGAAGTGCGTTACGCACAGTAATCGTATTATTATACAATATCGTTTGGACCGGTGGTGGTCATAGGGTTGTCAGTTATCTTGGTCATCTTATACGAGATTAAAAAGTATAAAAAAAAAAAAAAAATAAAAACGATCTATAGAGTCATTACAATTATCATTGAACTCGGTTTGTGATTCATTGAAATTCTTCGGGCACTGGTCGATTCTTGCAGTCAGATAATCGTACTCCGCACGTTACACAATAAAACAGGCGGGTCGGTACATTCCAAGTTCCAGCGGACGGAACGTTTTACGTATATCATACCCACCTCGTACAACCGACAAGGTAGTTTTTAAACTTTGTGGTTTGCATTCCGTAGAGTTACGTCGTTACGCTGTAGACGTGTTTAATAAACACGGTTTGAAAAATGTAAGCGAAACGCTAAGTGTTACACGAACCGTGTTTATTGTTCTGTTTGTTCTATACGTCCGTTTGCCGATCAATTTCGGTTCATCAATTATAATATTTAAACCGACGTTTCGCACCGTGTCCACGTGAAAATATATTGATTTGTATAAATGTATGTTACATGCGCGCACACGTTAAAAAGAAAATTGCTTGACAGACCGCCGATTCTTATCTACGATTTCTTGTTGTAAAATAATTGATAACGGTTCAATTGTTCAATACTCGAGAACAGATAGCAGGTTCGGTTACGCAGCCGTGTTTTATATACCGAATAAGGTAACCTAACCTTCTATGCTTGGTCAAACGATGTACATGTTTTACGAGTGTTTCGTTTATTATTTCACCAACGGGCCTAATATTTTTACTGATTTTTTTTTTTCCGTAGTTTAATTTTCGGTGTTATTAGAATCCTCTCGTTAATGTCGCCGCGTCAAGTTTAGGTTGAATAAAGTGTTTTATACGGTCGTGGTCGTATTCGAGTTCTGACGATTGAATGTAAAAGTGGCATTGAGTGTACTTGACCCGGGAAGAAAATAAACTTTTCATTATAATTTGATTAAAAAAGGGCATCGATATTGAACGAGTTCTTCTTACGGTGCACAATCATGTTTGAACAATGTTTATATTTCTATGCGAGCCTATCTCGAATAGGTACATTGTTTACGAAAGACGAAAACCCGTGGCCTCTTGGTCAACACTAAAACAACGCTTCAACGGTAATTATTTATGATTGTTATACGACAATATGACTTGTTACAATAAATATATATTTTTTTTAATATATTACACAGCAATAAAATGATTCGGTAAACGATTTTTAGATTAGAACTTGCTTTATACATTTTTTTTTTAAACTCTAGTTTACCGGTAAACTTTTTTATTTTAATCCAACGTGGCAATTATTGGGCTCTTCGTTGGTCCAGTCAGTCGTATCACCCACATCCATCACAGTTAATGAGTCCGTATCGGTTCCGGGTGTGTCACCTTGCCATCGATTAAGTGGTCGTATTGCATCCTATTACGACTACAATTTTTCGATTCTGAAACTCACTGAATTTTTCCACTACATTTGTGCCAATTACTTGGATGACTCACGTTTCATCTCGGACATGTGGGCTGATATGTCAAGTATAGGTGATCGTACCACAAACCGTTGCTAATCTTTTCACGCAAATTGTAGTGCCGAGTTCACGTATGCTCATCCTAACATTTTCAATTTCATGTAAAGTTTAAAACAGATAATGGGTGATACGTATATAAAGCTCCGGAAGAATAGTAGGGAAAAACTAAAAACTAGCGAAAAATCTGTAACGTCATTCAGAAATGTTTTGTTGAAACAAGGAAAATTTACCGTAGTTGAGTAAACAAAAAATGTCTCCTTTAAGTTCAAACCTCTAGTTTTATAGTATTCATTTAGTTGATTTATTTCTGGGGTTATTTTATTTATTTATTTTACACGTCAACAACATTTTTAATCATGTCCACAGAGAATTTTTTCTCACTATAGCCAGTCCTCAGCCTGTAAATGGAAAGGAAAATGTTGATGATCGGAAGCCGATACGGCCATACTTCAAGTGAAAAGAGGGAGCCGGAGCGGACAGACGTAGCGGATACACATCTGTATGTTAAAATAATCAAGAATAAATCAATCGCGGTTACAGAGAAATCAAGGTATAATTTTCATTTATTTATTTAGTATATTGTATCACGTATCACTTAAAAATAGATGGCGTTGAATATAATAAGAATAACTTGGAAGAAAATATATTACACAAATCGCATACATTATAGGGAACAATTAAATATAATCGAAAATATTTACGAATTACCTTTATAGGAGGAGGAGAGCCAACTTTTATTTGTAAATATTGAATAAAATAGAACCTCTAGTGCTAAGGCTATTAATTGTAATACTTATTTATAGGCATCGATTATAGAATACATTGTGTTCCAGTATGTTCTGCAACCAGTTACACGTGCACTAACAGTGAACAGACCCGCGTAAAAAGATTATGGGTTCGTCAGATTTTTTTTCTATTATCATTTCTGCGGTAGGGCAGGTACTCCCGTTTTGGTCCCTGAATCCGTATTAAGGAATCGATTATATGTAAGATATCAATTTCAAGTTTTTTTAATATGGATTGTTTTAAAACGAAATCAAATTACGCGTGGCTGTGAATACTGAATTGGACTTTTTGTCGGGTCCATACTTAATGAAAAACCAAATAAAACACAAGCGTAACTTTCAATACACAGACAGGTGTAAAAAAAAGAACTTCACAAAAGTCGATTCTAAGTGAATCCGGCATTAAATTAAAAAAATAGCCACAGTTATTAAGGATTCACCTGATTTAAATATTACCAATAATTTTACTTGTAAATTGTGAGCCTGATTTAAAGAAAAAATTTGAGTTGCTCCCCCCCTAGAATTAAGTTTAAATACTACCCTGGATTACACCTTATTTGCCGCACGTACGATGCCCGCGATCTGCAAAGGATGACCATCTCATCTCGCGCACCATTTATCGATGTTTTACGCATTTTCGCAGACGAGCGGCCATAAACGATAAAGATAATTCGTTTATTACCTACCTATGGGATGATCCGAAATCCATTGAATCCGAACCTAAGTCCTTGTCCGTATGACTGCAAACGATTGACGGAAATCCTTGTCTCGCATCGATTTAAGAGTAAGTACAGCTAATATACGATTCCGAACGTTTTTACCTGCCTTTAATCGTGTGGATTTAGTGTTAGTCGATAACAAATTAGAACTACCAATGGCCCAGAGAGCTTTTATAGGACGTACAATGGTCAGTTTTATAGTCCCTATCCTTCAACATACGTAGTGATATCAGTTTTAAAAGAAACACAAACTCAAACTTTGACAATAATTAATTTAATTAAAAACAATGTACATAATCCTATAACCAAAAGAGATAAATCTAAAATTTTATTAACATTACAAAACGGTAATGATCATAAAATACACAAGGATCTAATTTTATATTTAAGAAGAACTGAAAATTCCTACCAGGGAAAATATTTAAATAAAAAAAAAGCAAAAACGAAGAAAATAATTTTTTTTTTTTTATTTGCCTTTGTTCGCATATTACAGCAAGAAAAATAATTTTTATAAACCTTTATTTTGTATGTATTATTTTAAAATTGTTTTGATTGATTAACGTGTTAAACACTACATATTATTTTGTAAAATTTTATTTTAGTTCGTAACGCAGTTATTGTTTTAATTGTGTTATTAATATCAATAGTTTTAAAAAACGTTTCGTAAACTTGGCAACGTTAGTCTATAAAAATGTTCGCAATTGTTCGTTTTTCGGCTAAAAAATCAAATCCTCTGATAAGCGTCATTCGTTCGCAATCGTGTTACGAAAAAAGTAAAACGTTTGCAACGTGTATGCGTCCGTTTCCGGGTACTGCTATGCCAAACTAGCTTCGCGCACGAAAACAATTTTCAATTTTATTTTTTAAATTATTTTTTCAAACAAATTGTTTTCGCACCGCCTCGCAGCAGTGTACACGTCGTTAAGCGCATGTCGGTATACATCCGTTATCGCGATCGGAAACAGTTTTTTAACTATCTCGCGGCGGCCCTACTCCTACCGTGTAGGTACGTATGCGGTGCGCGTCTTGCAAACCAAGCTAAACATACATTGAATTATGAATCGGTGCTACTCAGTGCCGTGTTAACCCTGCAGTGCATGTTTTTTTCTAAAGAAATTTGATGTAAAATTTGGAAAAAATCACTAAAAAAAATTTTTTTTTTTAATTGCAATCTACTCATTTTTACAATTTAAGGGTTTGTAGCCAATTGGCAACAGTGTGCATTGGTGACATGATAATTTTACCAATTAGTCATTTTTATTATTCGCGTTCCTCTAACGGTCGGTATGTAATATGATTGTTGCAGAATAAATAGTAAACAGAGAAGTAATAGTAATAACTACAAAAAAGAACGCCTGTAACATTGGCTTGTGTATACGACTTGAGATCAAATTAATGATACAAATAGTCTTAAGAAACATATAAAATCGACAAATATAGACATTTGTACTTTATTATTAATTATAATCAGTATTATGCAACCATACTACATGTTAATTTTCGATCATTTTTTCGATTCTATGGGAATTCAATTAATTTGCCTCGATTTTGTATTTTTTACCCAAATGCTATACATTATATGTAGTGTAGTTATGTACAGTTACAAGACTTAATCACGGTTCATAAATCAAAAGTACTGTTGGCAATGACGTCGTTTTCATAATTAAATTCCGTTGGAGTGTTAAACAATTCATATGAGTTAATAATGAAATCTCGTCTTTCAGTGCTGTATTTTTTATAAGTCCATCATTATTATTATGATGATAATTAGACATTATGTTTTAATTATTAAAACCTAAAAAAAAAATGCTATTATAAAGATAATATCCATAAGCATTTTCAGTTATTATGAAATTATAAAATATAATTATTTGTCTTAAAGAATAAGAAAATCATTAATTTTTTTGTAAAAATAAGACCACTTGAGACCTATATAATTTTTAGTCAAATTGAGGGTAATATAATAGAACAAACATTCGTTGTTTTGATAAAATTATAATTTTATAAGAGTTTTTAAAACATTATGTAGGCACAGTTTAAAGTTATACTACTGTGTATAACATTTTTGAAGCAAAAAAATTGTATTTTTCCAATTTCATTGTATAAAAAATAATTAATTTGTCTGTTTTGAGTTTTTTTTTTTTAAATTTATACTAATATTTTTTATTATGATAGTAATCTTGTATACATTTAATATTTTTAATTTATTAATTTAAATTCATAATAATTGATTATCTAAGTATATACCTAATATAAATAAGTTATTAATTAGGTGTTATATAATTAACTTTAAATTTACAAATAATTATAAAAATCGCTACGATAATAATAAAAATAAATTATACGATGTTGACTTGAACGATTGAAGAAATATTTGTTTCAAAAGTATTCGTAAATTGACCGTATTTCGAATCTAATTTATGTTTCTCTAGACCTAAGTAGATATTTTTCCTTCGTAAAGGATATTAGACAATGTTTGTCTAGAGAACGTAGACACGTTATAGTTTTTTATTAGTAGCATGTATTTTTTTCCTTGAGTTCTGCTAAAGATTTATAATGATGAAATTTTATAAAATCATCACTTATAATATTATACTACAGTAGGATTAATCACGTGCAATTCGCTGAAATAAAATCGTGCCTGGAAAGTTATTTATTTTTTTTTTGTCATGAACAATTTTTTTTTACTTACACTATCTTAAATACTTTTCTTTTTTCTTCATAATGTATTCAAAATAACTGTCATCAATAAGTTACGTCTCAACGTTTGCAATAATCTTTGTTATATACAGTGCATTGCACATTATTATTACTGTTTTAATACCATTCATTTTCACTTAAATCACATCTAAATAAAAATAATTCACCCACTTGCAAATTTGCCAAACCATTATAATATGTTGAATCAATTCAAATTTTGTAAACAGAAGCCAATATTATATTACAAATATTTTGATCATTTTTAAAAGCTTAAGATACAAAATTTTTTAACCACATTTCTCATATCTGGGCTGTGTCTATTATTTGTTTATTAACAACAATCTATCAACATATGCTCTAAAAACAATTTTATAATTAAAATTTATGTAGTTTGAAGCATATAATATATATATATATATATATATATATATATATATATATATATATATAATATTTTATTATTGAACTTGTCTAAATTAAGTTGTACACTAATTTTTTTTTTTTTTTTAATTGGGCTTTTATTAACATCAGCAGCAACGGCTATTAGTTATTATATTACAAGTTTTTTCTTATGTATGCGGTTCTTAAAATTATGTTGTTTAAATTAAATCATATAATTTAGTTTTTCTTAAAAATTTTAGAACTTGATTGATGGCGTCTGTATTCTGTCCGAGTGCTGTGTCAAGGGTGTTGGATATGTTGAAGTTGTTGAGTTCGTCTGTGTAACACTAAATTTTTTTCTCATTAATGCCATCAATATATGATGGTATATTCATTAATAGATAACAATTAACTCAAGAAATATGTTATGTTTTACCGTTTTTTTTTTAAAATTGGTACGTGTGTAGAAAGAAAAAAATTGGAAATCTCACTGAAATTTAAAATTATTTACATCCTAAGCAGAATTGTATTCAAATAATTATAAACACAAGATATACAGTTAGGATTATTAAAATTCTATGCTATAGAAACAGGTTTTTATTAAATTAGCAAATATATTCTTTAATAGTTATTACGTATTACCAACTTTGCAAAATTAAATTTAGATTTATGCGTATTACATATTTTGTGAACACGTCTGATCCCACGAATTGTGAATATAATAATGTATTTGAAATATTCTCATTTGGATTTATAGTTAGCTGATTAATCTTAAAATTCACCCTATATGTATACGTTCCTGATATACTGATATATAGTTAAAATATGTATCTATAACGACTTTAGTTACCGGTGTATAAAGTACAGTTAGAGTAAAAACTAGTTCCTCTTAGTTTTGAATGATCGATTGAGATTAAAGATTAATATGTACGTGAATATATAGATATTTGGTGGCCGTTACATATAATGTGCTCGTAGTTAGTCAGTATATCAGTATTATAATAACAATTATGTATGTAATATTTAGTAATCAGTTCATTATAGATAATTAGCGTGATGCGAAGATGATTAACTGATAACTGATGATATTCATTATAAAGTTTTTTTTTTTTTTTTGTATTTAAACGATAAAGTCATCCTGTGAGTCCTAATGAATCTAACAAAGTAACGTTAACAATTAACAGTATCTGTTAATTAACTAGACCACGTAGAAATAACCGTGAGGTGCGCGAGGAATAAATGTATTATACGCGTATAACTCTTACGATATATTTTTCAAACCCTCTTGTTTGAACGCATTTATTACTTACTGATTTATACTATCAAATTAATGACAAATATTGTACGGAAACGACAAAATATAACATATTCTACTACTAAATGTAAATCATGCACTAGATGCATAAATGTGTTCTAACGAAATATAGTCTTATGGCCGAAATTTGCCGTTTCAAATATTGGCGGATGGAAATTAAATTAAATTAGGTCTCCGGCAAACATCAAGCAATGACGATGAAATGATCGCTCAGGGTGGTGGGGTCGTGAAGAATGTTAAATCATTTCCGGCAACCACCTGGGGTTGACATAATGAGAGAGGTCTACTGACACCAATAATGTATGTTGCCTTCAGCACTATAGGAAATCATCATTTCGTGTGAGAGTGTTTCACATATTATTGTTATCGATAGTACTTTCCGCGGGCGTAGATGCAACCTTTTAATCAGTGTTTAGTACAACAGTTATGCCGAATAATAATTGATTGTAATTTGAAAGCATCTACCCGTAACCACGAGCGGTTTTTTTTTTCTGAACAAATTTTATCGTCTTGAATAATTGTTTGAACGAAAATACATTTCATTTATTAGTGAGGTTTTATTTTTTATATAATTTTATCGTTAATTTTATAACTGTTCACGAAAGAGAAAAAAACTTCAGCGTTATGAAATAGATTTTTTTTTATTTCATTTCCAAACCAGTCGA